TCAGCTCCCACACTTTAGGGATGTGAGTACAGCTAAAATTATTCTTTGGAAAGAATCTGGAGCCTTTGACACATTGAAGCTTGAACTAATCAAGGCTTCCCAGTAAGCATATACACATATCCATATCAAGGAAACAGTGCTGAGAATACATGGATTAGCATAGTAATTTAACTGCCCCCTGCTAATCAACTTAAGCAACCAGCTGATGCATATATGATATATTTGAAGAGACTCTTTCACAACTCCAGAATGGGCCAGGTAGCTGACCATGGATTTCATGTTAATGTTGAGATAGGTATCTGTCTGTCTGTGTATAGATAGATATACATATGTGTGTGTATACATGTACAGATGGGGGAGACAACAGATGGAGAATGCATCAAGGCATTGCTTGACATGAAGGCCTCATGTGCCTAACCCAATATACAGGGTTTACTTTTCAATGAGTATTGCTGGCCTCCTCTTTTTAACTGTCTCTCACTTGTCTGCTAAAAGACTGAGATGATTTCTGCTGTTGAGGCTTTTACCTTGAGCAAAAGTAAAGGACAATTGCTTTGTGGAGGTCTGCATTGGGGTCTGCCTATTACAAACAAGAAAAACTGTGGGACCGTTTTGTAGAAGCTTTGTGCAGCATGCAAAGTGTGCAATAACAGCAGTTGACTTCCAGTAGTCCTTGTTTTGGTGTGACAGCATTAGTGCCTACTGGGGTGGTGGAATCCATGTCCTGGGCATGCTGCGATTAGATTGAGAAGCGGGAAAATTAGCAATGGATTGGGAAATGATGATTTTTAAATAAGGTTGTAAGTAACAAGTTTGTGCTAGAGCTGAACATATTCAGGAGAGAGGGAGGAAAGGGCATACTCTGTTTTCTGTAGTCCATCCCTTCTGATATTTACCCATGGATTCTGGTTTGCCTGGTCTGATATATCATTAAAATCTTACAGCATGTGAACAAAGTGGAATTGAACCTTGAATAAATATTATCACAAGGGTTGCAGGCAGCAGGGTTATCAGACTATGGCAATAGAAAAGACAGAGCTGAGTTGGGTTGCATCATTTATCAGTGAAGTATTACATGGTGGGACTTGGTACCTATTTCTTGCTAGCAGCCCATACCTTTCAGAAATATTAAGTGAAAGAAAAAATCCTATTTGATTTGCAGAACAAGACACTTCTTCAACAGGCTAATGTCATAATGTGGGGTGTGGAGTTTCAGAAGATGGCATTAAGGTGAAGGTAAAGCTTTTGGTGCTGACAAGGTGATGTAGAAATCTTGATATTATGCTGGGTATCCTTTTAAATTTTTTATTTTGCATCATGGTTAGAAAGTGACTGGACACTTCTGTTCAAAAATTTGTGAGCTAGGCTGAACATGTCAATATACAAATATGGCTGCTCTCTGCAACTCAGCCACCCAGCATGGAGCAATGGGATTGTGTCATCCAGGCAGAGATGTCCAATAATTGTTTCCATTTTCCCATGATACGTAGGGAAACACTCCATCTCGGCTTTCATATACCAGTTTTCTCCTTCAAGTTCTTTGTTATGAAGATGCTCTTGCAGGAATTCATCACATGTAACTTCCCGTTTTACTGGGCGCAGTGTGAAAGATGGCTACAAGCTAAAAGTGCACTTTTGTGGCATTGCTCTTGAGTCTGTCAGGGGAGATGCTTGTGAAAAATAAGTTGTTTCTGAAGCTATTTACCAGTAATAATTTAAAGATGCCCAAAATGGTGCTACAGCACAAACAAAGCAAAGAGTTTGGATTAATCTGCTACATAATTGTCACCTGTAAGTTTGATTTGGTAAACTCATTTGCAGAGTTAAAGGCTAATAAACTAAATTAGAAACAAGACCAGAAAAAAGTTGGTAACTTTGCTGTAAGTTCAATTAAAAACAACAAATCTAAAGGACTTTAGGTATCTCTTATCCTGTGACTGCAACTCAAGTTGTAGTCAAAGGAACTGCAGCCATTTTGCTGCTCAGATGTGTCAAAGTGCAAACTGTTCAAAATATTTTGAATCAAATGGGAATACCGAGTAGCTTCTGAGCTCAGAAAGGTTGTCTTGTTTTGCTTTGGGGTGGAACAAAACAGAAAAAGGCTGTTTAGTCCTTTAGAGACCCCTGGAAATGTTGGTTGAAAGGGACCTCTGGAGATCATGTGCACCATCCCCTTGATTGAAGAAGCAAGACCGTCACCAGTGTTGGGTAAGTTCAGCTGTGTATTTGCACAGCTGAGCTTTGGAAATTTGAGAGGCTGGAGATCCCTCAGCTTCTTTTGGTAGCCTGTTCCAGTGCTGCATCTGAACTTTCCAAGATGTATTGTATCATCTACAGCTACCAAGCGTGTGGCTCCCTCATCTTTTTCAGTGTCTTTTTGGTAGCTGCAGGCAGCTATTAGATCAGCCATTAGCTTCCTGTTCACCAAACTAAACCAGCCTAGCCTCCTCAGCACTCATGGGCTGTGTGTATTAGAAATTTTAACTGCCTTGGCAGTTCTTTGTTGGCTCTTCTCCCCTTTCCCAGCAGTCCTTTTGAAGTGGGGGACCCAGAACTGAGTACAGTGTTTCAGATGCCCATCATGGTGTGCCCAGCTTGTGGTTTGTGTTGAGTACAGTGTTAAGACACATTCTGGCATCACTTATTGACTCTTGAGTCCTTCACAGCAGTGCTGCTACTCAACCAACTGGTCCCCAGCCTCTGCTGCTACACCAGGCTGTTCTGTCCCAGGAGCAGAGCTTAGGACTTCTCCTTGTTGAACCACATGGTGTTTATGTTGGCCTAAATTTCAAGTTTCTAGAGTCCATTTGGTCTCAAGCTCTGTCATTCATGTCAGCCGCTCCCATTGATTTGGTGTGTCATCAAAATAATTTATTAACGTTCATAGTTTTTCTGGATTGTGAAAACCAGAGTAAAAGGTTTTTTCAAAGTGAGCATCAGCGGTATCACAGAAGTTCATTTGGAAGGAGGTATTTCTTATAAGAGACCTCAAAATATCTACTGTCAGCTAGTGCTTCCATTTTCTGTTGTAACTTCAAGATACTGAGATATAATTTGATCCTCTGCTTTGTACCTTCATTTCTATAGGCCTGTTTTCTTTGCTGAACGTTTCTTTGGAAGCTGTCTTAAGAAGGTGCTAGAACACCAGCATTAGCAAATTGCTCTCAGTTGATGGGTCAAGCACACAACGTCCTGAAGGGGACCAGTTGTTGGAGGCATAAATTTTTTCAACAGTTTGGCAGATGGTGCTCTGATTATGGAATTCTTTTGGACAAAAGGGTTGCCCAGGGAAGGTGATTAGAGAGGAATTACACGCCAATAGCTAAAGCACTGCCTTGGGAGATCCCAACATGGTTCCAAAATCCACCTTAGACTTTGCATAACTGAGCAAATCAATTTTTCTCTATGTATTTCATGTCTACAAAGTAGAGACTGCCAGGCAGAAGTTCTTGAGAATGAGTAAATGCATTCAAGACTTGGGTGGACAGATACTGTAGTGATGGATCTGTGTTAAGGACTAAAGACGAGATTTAGTCTTGGGAAAGGGGAGGAGAGAAAGGGACAATTATGCCAACTCTAATAAACACAAAGTAGTTCACTAAGCTCTGCTGTCTTCCCAAAGGCTGCTCTGGGAAAAGACATAATGATAGAACTGGGAGTCAGGAGATCTGGGTTTTATTTTCAAGTCTGCCACAATCTTCCTTTGTGGCCCTGGGTCATTTAACCTCTGAAAAATGGGGGAAATGATAGCAGATAATTAACAACCTCACAGGAGCATTGAAAATTAATTCATTAATTTTTCTGAACTCATCAGTAGAAGGTGCAATGGAAATGCAAAGTGTTAGGGTATTTTATAAAATTGTGTCTGTTTCTTTCCCTTTACATGTGTTTTTAAAGAGTATTCTTAAACCCGTAGAAGACCTGTGGGGTGCCTTTTGAGAGCCTGCCATGAGGAGTGAAACTAGCATTGTAAAATATTTTTATCTTTATAATATGCAAGTCCTGTGCCAGGAATGGAGTAAAATGTGCTCAGAAACCAAAACTGTAGAGCAGACTTTGGCCCATATCAAGTTGTGAGTATGACCATCAGAAACCTGAGTTTCTGGAAAGGTTTTAATTGTTTTGACTCTAAAATTTATTCAACCAGATCACGCTTCTCGTGTTTTATGGTGAGAAACTTGTCCCTGTTGCTCCCCCTTGCACACACCTCCCAGCATTTTATTGCCCTAGACCTCACTGATCATGGAAATACTAAAATTGTTTCTAGTGTTCACTGGGTAAAGGCTATTCTTTGTATCTCACCTTTTGTGTAACAGGCCTTCAATTAGATTTGTGATAGGTGTATTGCTGTGGGACGAGACAGGAATTATATTTGCAGTCAATGGAGCAAGCCTCTAGTGTGTGCTTTGCATCACGATATTGTTTTAAGATTAAAAATCTGAATAAGTTTTTTTGCTTGATCTCACAATGCTAGTAGTTATTTGCTCCCCATCACTGTGTTCTTGGATTCACCTGGGGGACATACTTACGTGAAATACTATTTAGAGGTAGATTGTTTTAAACTCTTTGAGTTGGCTTAGTAGTCTCATCTTGGTTACTTGTGTAAGCAGTGGTTTTCAGGGATAGATTTCTTCTCTGTGCACAGTCTGTCTTTCGTGCTCTACCTGTAACAAGTGGAGAACCTCTACAAAATGTGACTGGTAGCAAGGTTGTGGAAGATTGTGTTTTCCAGAAGATTTATGAACAGAATGAGCTGACATCTTGAAAATTTAGGCTCTTTTGTCAGAAGTTCCTAGCTGGATTTGAGTGGGCTGCTGAAATCTGTGGTGCCCCAAGCTGGTTACAGGACTGTTGTCTTCAGAGTTTCAGGGAGCGTTGTGCTGGTTTTTGCGATGGTTAAGTAATCTCGTTTTCTGCTCTGTTAAGATGCACCCATCCATCTTCATGCAAATCAATTTTGTCTTCTCTATTGACACAATTTGTTTTCCATTTATGTCTAGGGAACGTGACTACTAGCACATCTGTGTCTCAGATGGCAAGTGGGATCAGTCTAGTCTCCTTCAACAGTCGTCCGGATGGTATGCATCAGCGCTCTTACTCGGTCTCCAGTGCAGATCAGTGGAGTGAGGCAACAGTCATTGCAAACTCTGGCATTAGCAGTGGTAAGAAACCTGGAGCTGGGAGGGGTTATCTGCTTTGGGGTGAAAGGGGAATTTGGTGGTTTGCTTTTTTAAAAAGAGAAGGAAAAAACTATATGACCGGATGTTCACCCAGATCCTCTGTGGGAAGCCAAACTTTCAGCATCTGAGAGAAAAAGGAGAAATAAGATAAAAGAGAACAGATCGAGACACTACTTTTTCAGC